CTTTCCCAATCATATCAGCACTGGGCGGCCGACATCCCACCAGCCTGGGGCTGGCCCCAGCACAGCCTCCCAGGCCCCACATCACACGGGCACGTCCCAAGGCTGACGTAAGCGCCGGCCCCACGGCCGACACACAGGGACCGGGGTGGTGGGCGCCATGGGCACCTGTCCCTACTTTTTCACTTTGGCATCGTAGGTGCCCGCATTCTTGTAGGCACTGACATAGCCGCTGGTGTCCACGATGTTCTCCCGCCCACTCTTGCCTTTGCCCTTGCCGCTCTCATCAAAGCGCTCCTTGTGGGAGCCCGTGTACTTGGAGGTGTCCGTCAGCCTCTCCACAGCCCCCACCGTCTTGGCTTTCTGCAGCAGGGAGATGGGACACAGGAGTCAAGAACATGCCCCATCCCCTTCATCCCTTGCCCTGCACAAGCTCCTGACACCTGCTGAAGACCCTGCTGTGCCTCGCCGTGCCCACCAGAACCATGCAACCCCCACACCCCCCAGCCCACCCAGGGCCCCAGGGTCCCCCAGAAAGCATTTGCACTGTGGGCAGAGCTCTGTCCTCCCCTCCTGACCATCCCTCTGCTCCCAGCAGCTGAGGGGCTCTTCACTCACCGTGACACCCACGTTAATGGGCTCCTTCCCTGCCACCAGCTGGCAGATGGCTTCGTACGCCTCCTCTTTGCTCTTGTCCTTAAATCTCTTGGGGGCCAGCTCCTCCAGCGCCTTCTTGAACTCCTCGTAGTTGATGACACGGGCTGTCTTCCCTCTGCAAGCACAAAACCCAGGCTGCCGTCAGCATGTCTTCAGGTTGCACCTCCAAATGGGGCTGCAGTGGGATGAGCTGCATCAGGGAGACTCCGGCTTTGTCCTCCTCCAGCCTTGGGCTCCTCACCCACCTCTGAAATGCAGCTGTGGCCAGGGCAATCCTGGCTGAATGAGTCGGGCTGGGCACAGCCGGTGCTGAGCTCCAGGAGCTTTTCAGCCATGTGCTGTTGGAAGTCCCTGGTGCAAAAAACCTCACGCGTGCATGGAAGTGCCCTGGGACTTGGGTGCTGGTGGCAGGAGGGGACATGCATCCATTCCCACTGCTCCCAGCCTGCCTGAGATGCCCACCACCCTCTCTCCCCTGGCAGGCATCAGTCCTTCTCTGGTCAAATTTGGAAGGACGTGCACAGAGCATCTCTCCCAGGAGCGCCTGGTCCTCATCTCCAGGGAAGTGCAGCAATCCACCCTCCTACATATGAAAACCTCCCAGTGCTCAGACCCTCCAGGCCCCACCAGGGAACAAAGGGATGGTAGGACAGAGGGTGTGGAGGGAGCAGGTTCTTCATCCATCCTTGCTCCCGCTCTTCAGCCACCCCTGTGACCTCCAAGGACCAGAGTCCTCCCCAAGCTCAGGTGTGGGCTGGCCAGGCCCAGGGATGGGCCGTGCCACATCACATGGGACACCTCCGAGCACCCTCCTCTTCTCCCTGCAGCACCTTATTGCTAGATGGGAACCTGGCAGAACTGGACAGGCCCACCCCAACGCCTGGAATTAGGAGCAGGGGCACAGCCTCTGCACCAAAATCTGAGCCTCCCACCACCCAAATTTGGATTAATTTATTATTAAGTCTTGCAAAAGCAGCCACACAAGCTCCCTGAAGGCAGGACGCTGCGGGGAAGCACCCAGTGCTCCATGCAGAGTGCAACATCAGAATGGAGAGCCTGAGCGGGCAGCCGGGGTACCACCCCTCCTCGGGGACCACCACACCCAGGCACCGCCACCCTGCTTGCACTGCAAGGGCATCCCCACCCTCCGGGTGGCTGGAGGCCCCAAAAAACCAAGTCACTTACTTCACCTTGGAGAAAACAATGTCCACGTCAGTGCTGGTGATGCATTTGCCATCAGTGACTTTGCAGTCTTTGCAGAGCTTGGCCCAGTTCTTCCCATTCATTTCTTGCCCCGTAGCCTTGGTGTCACCATAGATGGCGAATTTGCGGAAGCTCTCTTCCAGGGATGCCATCTCAGTGCTCCTGGCCATGGGGCTGCAGGACAGGGGGCAGAGGGGCCTGTTACCGCCCAGGCTCTGGCTGGCTGTGCCAGCAGAGCTCGGCTGGCTCTGCTCTTCTGTCTGTGAGGGCAGGAGGAGGAGGGCTGGCGAGGGTGGAGGGATTGGAGCCGGAAAGGGGTGTTGGCAGAGCCTGCGGGCGTGGGGTGAGGGCTGGCAGCAGCCTCGGATGAGCCCCAAGGCCAACAACCGAGACTGGATGGAGGCTCCTGCTTGAGAGCTGTCAGCAGCAAGGCTGTCAGCTCCGGGGGCTGGCGAGGAGTGAGTGCATCAGCCTGTCCCCTCGGGAACGCTCTCTGGGAATGACGCAATGCAGCCGCCTTCCTCCTGCTCGCTGGTCGTGAGAAACGGCATGGCACGGCTG